CCCCCCCCTTTCCTGCCTTGCCAGGCTTGTGCTCGGATCAAGGGTCTGGTTAGGAATTTTAGGGGGGCCCCATGTTTTTCCTCAAAATTCCTACCAGACCTTAAGGGCCTGTTATGACTTTTGGAAGTGAGCAGAAACATGCAGCGATCTGCTCACTTCCCGATCGTCTCCCTGAAGTGAGCGGTGACTGCCAGTCACCGCTCACTGCAGGGGTTCCCCCCTCTCCTCCAGCGCTGAGTGGAGGAATGAACGGAAGAGGGGGCGGCTAGGCAGAGCCAGCTGCCACTCACGCAGCTGGGTGGATAGCCCGCAATATACTGAGCTTTGGGTCATGGGAGGAGGTTAGTATATATCCTCCCGTGACCCTAAAGAGAACTATGGGGAAAAACACTTACCCCATAGTTCTCCTTTAAGCACTGTAATAACTCTATAGGGGCTACACTACCATAATACAAGTTATTCCAATTTCTACTCTGGACAAACAGAAAAAAACAACTTCTAACCTTGTAGTAAATACCCATCTGGAAATCTGACTCTCAGAACGGTATACTTATACTTCTTCATTTTAAGCTTTTCCTCCCTCCCTCGCATTGCTTTAGTTTGGAGTACTGATTCTTGCTCCAGCTTCTCTTTCCTGTGATAAAAAACAGAAGCCAGAATACTGATAAGTATAGTTAATGGAATACATCTTCACTGCTAAAAATAGAGACCATACAGTCTATATGCCTGCACAAAATACTAACAGAAAATGTGAAGCTTAAAACAATCTATGATGTGATAAAAACCATTTGAAAAGAATGTAAATTTTATTACACCTGTCTTTTTACACAGTAACTGAAAATTGTACCACAGTAATTGAACTTGCAACACTTAAAATGCGATTATACATTCTGATCAAACATTGCAAAATCATTTTATATAGTTACTAGAATAAATGTAACACAATTTGAAGTTATTTGAAACAAGTTTCTTTTAAGACAATCTGTTCAATATTACGCTTCACTTTCATCAGTACATTTTTTTTAACTTCAATTAGGCACTCAATTAACTGTTTAATGTTCAATATTTGGAACACGATGTTCACATGAAACAATGTTGTTTCTACTTCTAAGCAACATGCGGTTAAGTGGAGATGAATCAGAAGCACTGGCAAACCAGTTCAGTCTCATGGTGGGTATTCTGTGATGTCAGATATGATGTTGCTTGAGAAATGCCATATTTTTTTTTATTATAAATTCTTTAAGTTTTTCAATGCAATATAAAAATAAACAAGTGTACATAGAATACAGTAAAGCAGATCAGGGAAACCTAAAACAAGCATCAGTACAGTATAACAAAATGTCTGCATATGCAGTCAACCATATCTCAGCTCGGCATTAACACAGATAAATCTGCTGCACCAGACCACTAGAAGTCAGGGAGCATTAAGCACATAGCATTTCCCGCACTCACAAGAGAGGTGTGCTGGGGAAGCGAGAGAGGAGAAAGGGGGAAAGGAAAGAAAAAGACAGAAAAGTAGTATGGAAAATATACCCAGATATTCACCAACGCATCAACAGTGATACCTGGTCGCCCCTGCGCACGGCCTGAACCCGTGATTCTCGACCCCCGTCCACGGGAGTACACAGAGCAGAGGCATTCTTACATCTCCACCCCAGGCATGTCAGCTGCACCCACAAGACATCTGTGTTTCTTTCAGTACACCTACCCCATTAGGGCCATATAGTCCTGGGATGCAGTGAATTACATCCAGTAAAACCAGGTACAGTTGAACTGGGAAACCATATGGTTAACAGAAGCCAGGAGATCCTGACAGGAGACGGGGGAGAACATACATTTTGAGAATGCTATTCCGACCAAAGCATGTAAAGATGTTCTTCATCCAAAGCTGTAGGTCTAATTTCATCTGAGTAAGGAACAGTGGGAAATTGGCTGAGAAGATTCCTCCCAGAGAGGAAGTCAGGAAGATCCCCAGATATTTGATACTGTGCGAGGCCCATTTGAAAAGAAAGTAAGAAGAAAGGGAGTCCAGGACCGCATCGGGCACACTAAGGTTCAGGGTCTCGGACTTCTGTAGATAAATCGCAAAATTGGGACAGGGATTTGTAGTGGTCTAAAAGGTTCGGCAGTGGGGTCGCAGGACTCGTCACAAAAAAAGAGTAGGTCGTCCACATAGCATGCTACTTCATGAGTTGACCTATTCCCCCCCCACACGGATAGTCCAGGAAAATTTGGGTTAGTACGTATGCGACATAGGAGAGGCTCCAGGATTAGTACAAACAGGGGAGGGGAGAGTGGGCATCCCTATCGCATGCCATTGAAAAGCGGAAAGATGCCAGAAGCTACCCCATTTAGCCTTACATTTGCTGTTGGATGGGAATGTAGGCAATCTATCCAAGTGGAGAATGCGGTCCCTACCCCCACGTAGGTCAAGGTTGTTTTCAGAAAAACCCAATTGACACCCGTGGACAGGCGAATAGTGGCAACGTCTAATGACCTAGCGAAATGAATGGCGCTCAGGGCTCATGTCATAGTTACATAGTATTTGAGGTTGAATAAAAGACATTAGTCCATCAAGTCCAACCTATTAGGATCTCATTCTAGGAGTACCTGTACCCCTGTATATTACTGTCCCTAGTCATGTTTTCTTTGGCTTCCCTAGCCAGTATGAATCACACCTGGTCAATGTTTATCAGTCCCGGCATATGGGGTAGCAATCTATTAGCAAGGATTTTCGTACATAGCTTTAGCTCTACATTAAGTAGGGAAATAGGGCAGTAGTTAGCACATTGGGCTGGGTCCTTACCATCTTTCGGGATAACCGTAATGGCCACCCATAGCGTGTCAACAAGGAGCGAGTGACCGCCGAGAACCAAGTTAAAGGCTCTGAGGAAAGGCTGTGTCAGGTGGGAGGAAAATCGTTTGCAATAGAAAAACGTGAATACGTCAGGTTCTGGTGCTTTATGTGGTTTTGACTCTTTCAGAGCTCTGTGTAGCTCAACCTCCAACAGAGGTCCAGCCAAAGAGAGGCAAGCCTCCGGCGTGAGACGAGGCAACCCGGACCCATCAAGATAGTTGATTATGGCCCAAGTTTTGTCCTCTAGGGCCTGTCCTGTGGGTGACGGGGATGAGCCATCTAATGATTGATAGAATTCCGTCCGCTATTTCCTAAGACTCCCTCAGAACTCTCCCGAGCTCGAGATCACCTGAGACACAGCAGTACGAGGACGGCTCTACCTCAAAGCCCTCGCTAGGAGGCTGCCCGGTTTGTTACCCCATTCGTAAAAGAGTTTGTGCAACCAGGTGCGACATGCTTTTACCTTATCCAAGAAAAAGGCCTGCCCAAGAGCTAGAAGTTCCGAAAGAGTCGACCGAGCAAGGGACTGCTTATGGCTCCGCTCTAAGGTCCGAATACGACTGGTCAAGTCAATGATCGTAGCCGCATGAATCTTTTTGAAGCACGCACTTGTGTGCCTCCCAGATCGAGAGAGGCCGTGCCCCGGAAGCCTGATTAGCATAAAAATAATTACGGAGTTCCGTATTCATAGCTACACTGACCCCCTTGTCCTGTAAAATGAACTCATTAAGGTGCCATTGCCAAGTCCTAAGGGTGTTGTCCCTGATCACCATGACCACCGGGGAATGATCAGAGATTGTACAGATCTTAATAGACATAGTAGCAACCCTGTATAAGTCAGATTGTCTCAGCAAAAAATAGTCCAGGGGTGAGTACAACTGGTGGGGTGCTGAGAAAAATGCATAATCCCTGGCGTGGCCATGGAGAACCTCCATATATCTAGCAGCTGCTCCGTTTGTAGCAGTTTCTTAATCCGCCGGAGAAAGACATAGGGTAGATGCGACGCATTATGTGAAACATCCAAGAGCAGTTTCAGGGCCACGTTGAGGTCGTCCCCCATAATGAGGGTACCTTCCACGAACGTAGACAGTTCTGAAAGGCAGCGTTCCATTAACGCAATCTGATTGATATTCGGGGCATACACATTGACTAACGTGACCCTGGACCCCTCCAAGTCGCCCTTGACAAATACGAAGCGGCACTCATGGTCTTCCAGGGCCAATCCAAAAACCCATATTGCTGACCATGTGATCACCGTGCTCACCCTATAGATAGTCAGTGTCTGGGTCCTACTCGGCTGAAAATGAGTCTCCTAGAGGAATGCTACCTGCACCCTCTGTCTCCACATTTCCCTCAATACCTGGGAGCGATTTTCCAGAACATTCAGGCCCTTCACATTCCAGGTAAGTATCTTAGTAGGCCGTATAGGTGGGACCCGCAGGGGTGGACATGCATGGGATGAATCAGCCATGGCCACACGGCTCTCCACGTAGTCCCACTGACCCTACGCTACCCGATCCGTCGGGAATATCTAGTGGGGGAAAAGAGAGGGAGAAGGAGAGAGGAAAGGAAAGGGCAGTACGGATGGAGCCAAAGAAGAAGGGTCTTAGAAGCCATAAAAGAGAAAGATAGATTGAGTGAGAGGGACATAACATCCCACAGTGGCTACAGATAGATAGAGAGGGCGAACACAAAAACTAAAATACTAGAATATTTTTCAAAAAAATCAGAACTCCGGGGGCTGCCCCACGGAGTCGCCCTATGTGGGGAAGTAGCCAAAACATTAAATCAGTGAACCAAAGAAGCCAATAACATTACAACTAGGAGGAATATCAGTGTGCCACGAAAGTAAGCGGACTCCCGCTCAGTCCAAGGATCCCAGGAAAGCGGGCTGCTAACAGAACCCCCTCACATGGGACCAGGAGGACACGAAGGGCAGGAGGCACCCATCACCCGGACGAGCAGGCGCATAACCCCAGGTCACCAGAGACCCCAGATGCCTCATAGGGTTTCCCCATGGGGGGTATAGCCCGGCCGGGCGTGAGGCCTCCCCCACAACTGCCCCCCCAGATCCACAAGTGGGTCCCAATCCACCCCCTTCTCGCTGTGCTCCCATCACCACAAATAAGGCATGTACACATCCCCAGAAAATAATGATTCCAACAATCAGCATAACATATAAACTCCGAAACATAACACCGAACAGCAAAAACAGAGATGAACCTCGCATTCCAACAGGGAGAACAGCGCTGGAAGTTGATCTGGCCTGTAAAGTGCAAAGTGGCGGTCACCCTGCCGAACCAGCAGGTGGAAAGGGTGTCCCCATCTTTACGATGCACCGGCCTTCTGGACACACCGGAGAACTGGTCGGAGCTGTCACCGCATAGAGAGCGTGTAGCTGGAGAGATTTGGCAGAAAGGAGATGGAGGCGCCATCAAAGTCGACAGATTTCTTATTCCAGGCCTGACGCATAATTCCTTCTTTCAAAGTAAAGAACAACATGTTTAGTATAGTGGTCACTGTAGACCAGAGATCCACTCCAGAAGTGGCCTCCGGGATGCCCCTGAGGCGTACATTGTTCCTGTGTCTCCTGTTTTCACCATCGTCCACCTGAAGGTGAAGGGCAGTAAGGGCTTGCATCTGGGCAGTTTGCACCAGCTCCACCGCTTGTAATCGGGAGTCAAAGGAGGCTCTGGCTGTCTCTTGGGACGTCACCCAATCACTCACCCCCTTTACCTGCTGCCAAACGGCTGTCAGCTCCTGCTTCAGAGAGCCCT